TCCGGCCGTATTCCAAATGTTGTTTTGAAGAGTCCAAACTGTTGTCAAAACTAAACTCATCTATACTCTTAGTATAATCTACAAACACAGAGAAGCATGATTTAGATCACATTTTATCAAGTGTGCAAAATATGGTAATTTGAGTAAAACAATATTTTCCATTGAAACAAACAGCTTAGTCTCATTTCAAGAGCAGTTGCAATGTAGTTCTCATTCAAGTGAGAATTTGACATTGTCACTTTTTTGTAGAGTCGGGAATACAGAAAAGTTAATAATACAGTAACATGCAATTTACTGCTTTTTACAATTCAATAACCCCTACATCTGAACAAATGTAAATTATATCATCTATTTTATAATAAAAGCTAAAGATGCATTCAATTGCTTGTCAATCAAAACATATTTGAAATCTCCTATGCATTTTCTATAGGCATGCTTGACCCACTCGTTGTTTCAAAGGATTTCTATAGGATTTAAATGAACACATTCCCCAGATCAATCCCGCTGCATCATCATCTCTGTCTGCTTCTTTCTTTGTAGCGCCTTTAGAGCTTAGAACAAAGATGTGCTTTGTGCCTGTGCTACACATTCAGTGAGGATGTGCATGTCTGCTCCATTACCACTGACTATAGTTGATTAACTGTGAGAACACCGTCTCAGGTAATGTATTCAGCCAGTCGATTGTAATGGCTTCTGCGCACCCGTGTCACAAACACTTCCAGTCTAAACATGTGGACTTAACTTCCTAACTCCTACTCTATACATGATATAATGTGTGATTGTTTTAATACATAATAATAATAATAATAATAATAATGATACATCTTTATTTGTATAATAGTGTTTACAAAGTGCTGCACAGTTCTGTTCAATTCAAGTAAATTTAATTTATTCTTGTATAGCCCTAAATCACAAAAGTAGTTATCTTGGAGGACTCAACAAAACCGTTGAATTTGCCAACGCAGAGAATCAAACTGTTCGAACACAAGAAATAAATAACACTGAAAATTGGTATTGGTCCATAAGAGGCAGATGACAAATGTTCATAAGTGTCAACGCAAATAATAAAATCAACCAATAAAACAGTCATAATAATACAAAGTCAAATTAACAGTAGATACGGGAAAACAAAGCAGACAGAGGTCACACAAGAAGAAAAACAAAACAAAGACAATGTGGAACAGTAAAATACAACACGTGAAGGGGGTAAAGGTTCAGAGATGTAGCTTGGTGCCAGACCTAAAGGAGCTTTAAAAGTAATCAGATAACATATTTATCTGTATCACACATAAGAATATACACATATGCATACACACAAACACACACACAATTACTCAGTCACTCACACTGACACCGGTCAAACAAACAACATAAAAAAGTAAAATCATTTATATGAATAGTGATAAACAAATCAATAACTTACAGTATTATCATATTGTCCATTGTTTACATTGCTATCATTTGGAGAGCTCTGTTTAGGCCCAAAAATAAATTGTTGGCAATAGGGTGGGGCTTCCGCAGAATGCTTTTTGGCATAGCTTTTATTTGTAATAGATATAATTAGCTAAGCATGCTATTCCCTTTGTCCATCAACAATTTACTGATTCAAATCCCAAGTTTCCTTCAGGTTAACTCGCAGCATTGCGGGCCCCACTGGTTCTCATTATTATTGGTTTTCATGCATGTTTTGTTGTCACCTGGGCATAATTACCGGATTTTAAAACACATCTGAATATCAGATAAGACGATAAGTCGTCTCTGCTGGCTGCTTAATTAGCTGAACATTATAATAATTCCATATATAGACAGACAATTATTTTGAAATCTGTTTTTTTAATTTGTGCTTTTAAATAACATTGTTTTTGTTGTCATTTCAGTGACAGCGTAAATAAGCAATTTACTTTCCATTTAAGCTTTTGTCACACCAGCTTGTTTTCTTATTTTAAAACACAGAATTAATTGGTTTATTTGTTCCTTCCTCACTACCATTAAATCTACCTTAATCGCCAGGAGCACCTTTAGATGACTTTGGATACCCGTAAGGGACTGTATGCTTTGCTCATGTCGATAGCGCTTAGCTTTTAAGTAATGGTCATGCCTTCAGAAAGGTCAATGAGATCCTGAGGCTTTACGTCCTCTGCTCAGTGTTGACTTTGCAATGGCATTGATGTGTACGAGACAGTAAATCAAGGGTCAAACCAAAAACGGCAGTAGTAGAGACGTGCAGTAGTAAATCCTGTGGCTCGTTTAGAAAGTCATGCATGACAAAATACGGAATGTGACGCTGTTAATGTGATTAAAGTGCTACTCTGTTGACATTTCATTTACGACGAATGAGCCTCGCGAGCCGATACTCCAGTCGCAATTTATGGAGTTTTATTGAGGGAAGCCATCTCTGCTCGCTACATAAAAGCAGTAGGAGTCCATCGCCCTTGTCTTAAACCTCAGGGTGGCTCTGCACATGTACTGACAACACAGGAGTATCAGCTCTTAATATAGAGCTGCACATCATGACATTACGTACGTGCACATGCCACATTGTGTTTGCGCTACTTGAGGCCTATGTGTTAACAGCTTCTTACAACATGCTTAGTGAGATATGTGTTTGCATTTGTAATGACATTAGACATGTGACATTCAGATGGCTTTAAATATACAGATTATATAGGCCAATAGACGACCCGGGTTTATACTGAGTTCAGCCAGTATCAGGTGGTTTACGTCTGACTTCATTATAGATTTTGAATTGAGGATGCATACTATCTTTTTTTTTGGGAGACGCAATGACAAAGCTAAGATCACCTGTATGTTGCCCTACTATGATTGTTCTTTTTTCATAACATTAATCAAGTGATTTCCCTGACCTTGGAATAGGTGTCTTGGTACACTCTTCTGTACCAATTCAGTATTTCTTCTAATTGAGTGAATTCAAGTGATTCAAGATTCAGTATTTTATTGTCAAGTGGTCACGCGCGTCAATGACGTTCCCAATCACTGCTGTAGAACCACTCAATGTTTTTTGCGGAAGTACTAATTTACATTTAAACACTAAAATGATCAAACCTGTCTATAGCACTAATAAAACTATATGAATTACTGTTTTGTTACTTCCTTCTGTGATAAAATTTTTATATTATCTTTCTTGGAACTTACTATACATCTGAATATTCCATTAACCTCTGTAATTCAACTACCAATGTAAAATTAACATATGATAGATTTATAACATGTAAAGTGACATAATGTCAAATACGTATTTTTCTTATCATTATTATAATTATGGCTCATAGCTTTATTTTTCTTAACTGAGAGCTAAAATGATTACAGTGGCTTGGCATATGTCACTTTGCATGTAATAAGTCTGTGTCATATGGTTTCATATTTTAAGAAGTACATGAATAAATTAAATTTTAAACGACATTCTGATTTTCCAAGTTTCATCTGTCGTGTTTATCAGATGAGAAGCTAAATCCTTATTGACTTGCCTGCATTAAAACATAGTTGTAATCAGGTCCCTGCTGAATACAGTGTTCATGGAGTACACAGTCCACTACATGCACCTGTGCTTAGAGACTTGAAAGCACATTTGGTCCTTGGTGATGTTCATTATGTATGAGTACATCTGAAAATTGTCCAGATAAAAGTACATCTACTTGTCCTTGCTATATTTTATTTGACTAAAGCTCCACCAAAATACAGTGTGACTTGAAATGAATGTAAACGTATACATGCCCCAGGACCTTTTCCACATTGTGTCATGTAACAATCACAAACATGAAGACATTTTATTGTCATTTTATGTGACAAACCAACACACAGTGGCAACATTACACACTACTTTATTGTTATATTTAAATAAAAGAATGGGTGGCATGGAAACTTTTTAGTAAGAGTTCAACAAATCGTTTTCAGAAGATTACAGAACGGTCAAATGAGTGTAATCTCATTTTGGTACGATTACAGCTGTTCTGTTATGGTTGGTTTGGTGACTAGTCAGCCACAGCTCACTTGGGGGGGAATCTGAACGGGGCAACTATTAGTCTATGTATCATAATTTGATTGGAACTTTGCACATCAGGGATGGTAGAAAAATTGGTAGTTGACGTTTCACCTGCATCTCTCTAGTCTCTCATTATCTTGATCACTATCCATTAAAGTAGAGTTGATGAGGTGGAAACAAACCCTGCAAGTCACTTGACATTTCACATTCATCATGTTTTTAGTGAGCAGTGGTATCTCTTGAGATGATAATTATCCTGTAAATGAGAATTGATCCTGTTCTGGCAGCTGTGATTGTGGAGGTGTACACATATTTGGTTAGCATGAGTGAATAGCTTCTTCCCCTGTTCACCACGTTTGCTCCTAGCCTCATTGGGCATTGATTGGAGAAATTCATGCCAGAAGATTGGAGGAGATATATGCAGTGTTTTCTTTAAAAACCCAATAACATTGAAGCATAATTTTCAGTGTTTTACTAATTGGGATGCGATACAAGGAAGAATTATCATTTCCAATAATAAAGAGTGTAGTCCTCAGGCATTGTTTAACTCCTTAATTTGGAGTTTAACAAAATCCACAGTGAGAAAAAAATAAAGAATCTTAATCCTCAACATGTTTCCCAATTAATTTCTGAACACTTGATTTGAATGTAAATAATCTGTATACAGCAATATTGAATCACAAAAGTAAAACAGGAAAATGCTCTGGATAAACTCATTGCCCCAACCCTCACACTCCAACCAAAACTTACATACAAGTTATGACTATTTTTCCTTAGTTGTAATAGTAAGAATTTATTTTTATAAGACACATAAAAAAATTGTGGCTGGACAGAGCATACGTTTATTTGGTTCCAACCCCTCTCACTTATTCAACAAAACCCAGCGCCCAACATCACACACACGCAACACAACACACACTTAACACAAGCACAACACACAGGCCCAAAACACTCTCTGACCACACAGCTCCCTCCCACTCCTCTCTCTGTGCTGAAGTCCTCACTCCTCACTGTTTTTTTTATCCTGGCTAAATCCCAACCGCCACTTGCTGTTGCTCGCGTCCCTCTCAGCACCACCACAGTGTAGAGACTCCAGGGAAGCTCCATGTTGCTCTGGAGCCTGGATGTTGTCCAAGCAGCTTAGCCCGGAGGCAGCCAAACTTTCTCTTGCTGAGGGTGCATTGAGGATACGTAGTGGCACTGGGGCTGACACAACAGTCTCTTTAAGATCCCGGCACTGGATAACCACAGCGATGAGAATTTTATGATATTGACCTTTTCCCTTTGGCTCATATGTTTCATATTTACGCCCTTCCAAACAACACAAAAGCTACCATCAAGCCATAATTGAGCTGGAGGTCCATCACTTGTTCTTCTGCCTGCTGCTGACGCCATCACTTGAATCGCTCATGTAAGAAATAATTAAACTTTCGCGAGCACAAATCGATACACACAGCTGTCGTGGCAGCATTGATTACTTAGTTTGAGTGACTTGTCATTTTCTGCTTCTATTTTGCCTCAAGTCTTTGTTAAAGTCAAAGTATTGCATTTTAAGGCGCACAGCAGCCCAGTGATGGATCGTCGGGTTGATGGTGAGATTATGCAGGTGAGACAGCTTGAAGCCTTTAATCCCACATTTCTTTCAAGTAAACTGTGTAATGCATGCACCCTTTTGCAAAGCAGCGTAGATGTTTTATTTCTTACTTTTTTGTGAGAAAAGTGTTCTTTGGAACTCATCAGAAAGCAGATGACAGCTCCTACACAGAACCCAGAACGAATTTCCTTGTTTTAGTTTCTGCAGAATCAAATAATGCATGTAAAAATGATGACAAGGTTTTCTCCACCAGAAGTTTCTTTCATAAACCTGCGAGTGTGCACTAATTAAATGTCAGATATTACACGTTTCAAGAGGCAGAAGGGAGCTGCCATGTTGGGAAGCTGTTTTCGAGCTTCCTTGTTACACCAGCAATGCTTTTACTTTGATTTGACTTTCAGAGGGGTTTCCAAACATACAAGAGAGGACAACACAAATATGAAAAGGTTTTGTGGCTAGACTTTTGACGCAATGGGGAACCGACTGAGCTAGGACTTACGAAGGGTTTCCAAACGGAACTAATCCTGAACTAAAGGAGAGGTTGTTCGCCTGTAGCTGAAATAGACAAAGTCAGGGGTTGGGGAAAGATGGCTGCAAGGATTTGGTCCACTCAGTTATTTAATACAAGTTAAGGGGCATCTATAAAGCCGGCGCAGAGTTTCAAAGTCCGGGAACAATTGCACAGTGAGGGGTTTTTGAGACTTTGGCTTTGAGCTGAGTTTTTGTTTGTTTGTGCCACTTGGGCAGGCCAGATGAAGGGATTTCATGTCTATAGTTTGAGTTTGGTTGAGTGGAGGAGGAATTATGAAAGCGCTGTGCAAGTCCTTGAAGGTGAGAGAGGAATGTACCATAGAATGTTATCTGCTTATTGACGTTTTGAGATTGGAGTCTTTCTATTGAGTATTCATAGTGGAATTGCATAGTATAGTCAGGCAAGAACGTACAACATAGATTTGATACTCTGATATTGTGTGTGGTTATGTATTTTTTTTTTTCTGTATGTTTATGTGTGTCTGTAATACAAATACAAAATATCAATAGCCAATGTTTTGTACTGGATCCATTACTGTACAGTACAGTATAGACACAGTACCAAGCCAAGATTAAAGTAAGTCAATGCATATGGCAGAAAAAAATACAATACAGTTAAACAGCGTAGTTCGTGCTGATTTGTTCAAGATATATTGACATATGAATACACAACTGCTGATCGTACATGTATAAATTTAAGACGATACATGTCAGTTGTCAGATCTATTTTTCTTTACTTGTAAGTCTAAATTGAATATTATGTTAACTTTAGCTTCTCCATTGTGGTTTGGTTTGGTTGGTTTTAAGTGTTTTTGGAGTCTGCTTAAACAGCCTTCCCATTCCCTGATTATTTCCCTATATATGTGTATTTTAGCATGTCCTCATTATAACATATTCTCTAAAAGCATGACAAACGGTTACAAACATATACACTTTCATCTTTTGACCTTATGTTGTCATTATTCATACTCTCAAGTCTAATTGCCTCTATGGAAGAGGAGGCGACTGTTTCCGGTATGAGTAAAAAGCAGATGTAAGGCTTAAGTAGGCTGGGTTTAAAGCGCTCTGCATGTGTATGCTGTTCGTAGGCTGTTGGGGTAATCCAATAACAGCCTCTCTCCACTCTCCACACTCTGAGATGCTGGGGGGGAGTTGGGCCAGCGGCGCCTAGGGGCCTGAGCCTCTAATGAGGGAGGTCTGGGCTTCAACACACACACACACCCACACACACACACAACACAACAGCCATCTTAACCTTGCTATTTCTGTGCACACTCTATCTCCTCTCTTCCTCTGTCCTGAAGACTGACTGTGCCGGTTTGTACCCAATTTAGAAAGCTGCTCTTGTAGAAGTTACCCAAGCTACAGCCCACAGGACACCCACCCACTTCTCTCATACATTGTCAGTAAGTGTATGGTTGTCTCAGCAAGTTGACATACCTGAAACGTGTTTGCAATGTCTACCAGCAACAAACCCAAACTCTCGAGGTGAAGGGCTGCTATATCACTGTTTGGACATTTTTATTTTTGACTGAGTATTTTCATTTATTGAAAACTAGCCCCACAACCGTTGTTACTTTTCATTCATGCACATAATGGAAGCACATCCAAGTTAGTGTGGCTGAAATGATTACTGGACCCACATCATGATCCTCAAAAGAAGGATGCATCCAATAAACAATCAAAGTACAACAACCACATACCGATCACACTTGCGCTGCTCTCTACTCATTGAACTCTGTGTCCGACAGGTTGGCCAACCAAAATACATCAATGCACAGAAAACACTGAAGACCCCGCCACACTCCCACTGACCACAGCGTTCACAGGTGCTACACAAAGTCACCACCAATGATCACTCTTCCGCAAATGTTTGTATGATGTGTGATGGAATCATCTGTGCAGGGTTCGGCCGCAGAACACAACTTTGACAAGGATAAATGTCTGTGACGCTGAATATTTATATATGTAAAGCCACCTTTTTGTACCTTTATTCAATTGAAAAGACAGTGATTTGTGCCAGGCATGAGATGCAATCAAAAGCAACAGGCTTTAATTAACCACCAGACCGACTTGAGTATTGTGAGTATCCCTGTGCTAATTACCTTGAGTGCTCCTAGGATTTTGGTTTTGTGCTTATGAAAAGCAAGTTGATGAAAACAAGCTGAAGAATGGTTAGGAGTAAAGAGAGAAAATTAGCTTTCAGCCCTTATCCCAAGGTGTAAATTACGTAACGATAAAGTAAAATATTCATGACATGCCCTAAGTGTGGGATCCTGCTGGCTCTCAAGTGCTGAGCTAACACTTTGATTTCAGCCATGCTAAGAAGAGAGTCCAATAAGTAATGTGGTCCAAACCTTTCAACTATGAACCCAAATAGGTAAGGACTGAAAAAACCTTGCTAAAGGAAATCTATCAAAGGACTAGATAACAGGATATTGGTATAAATAACCTTATAGTTCTTAACACACTTGTTCTTGTCTTGATGGTGCTTGGACTTGGTATTGTCATGTCTCTAACCTGACCTTTTCCATTTTGGAACTTAAGTGAAGATTCAGACTGGATATCTCTGCGGCCACTCTCTCACCTCCATACTTGATGAATCTACTATACATCTATCTTCGATCAGCTCAGCGGCACAGCTACACACCTGCTCATCAGCAACTACCTTCTCTGTATGCATTCACACTCTGCCTCACAGAAGTTGCATTGAGCTGCTTCTAGTGTAGCAACTCACCTCCTCCCCATGATCACATTTTTTTCACCAGCTGAAACAAATGTTCTCAATTTGGAGATTTCTGTAATTTGTCAATGTTCTACCATTGACCCAATAGTAGAACTAGAACTAATAATTACTGTACAACTGACCTATAGGTGTGACTATATTTACAAATGTAAATTACCAGTTCATTGTGTATACTGCAATCTTATTCATTCTTCGTAAAACATTTGAGTATTTTTCACCTGGGGCCTGCTCCACGCATCACACAATCACATTACCATAATGTTTATGATTCACTAAAATGTTCCGCCTGTCAGACACCAAACAGACACTAAGTTGATTAAGCCTTTCAGAAGCCTTTGACGTCGTCATTGTTTTGTATGCTGCTTGATTTGCGAACAGCTGTGAAGAAATGATTGAATTAAGCCTGGTCCTCTACGTTTCTTATGATATTTGCCTCAGTGTTGAATCATTAGTTTATGATAAATACCAAAGACCCTCACGCGTACAGACGCTTTGAGCAGAGAGGACACTTCTCTCCTTGGACAAAGTGCCTCTTTTGAATCAGCCTGTCTTTCCAATGACAATTCACCACTTTCAAGAAATGGATGTATTTGCATAATGCACAGCGAATTGCTCTTGTGCACTTTTCCTTTCCCCAAATCTCAATAGAAAGCAATAGAGGAGATCTTGGTTATTCTACGCCAGCATTGTTAAATGCAAAATATGCTCATACGGCGGCTGCTCTATGCCCTGTCATCACTGCCAATGCATTATCACAAGGGCGGACTGAATATTGTAAGACTCTACTTTGCCATGTTAGAGGCCAATCATGACATGCATGACAAGTCTAGCATTCGTAGGATTTCTGAGGCTGCTCATACAATGGAGAGTTTCACATTTGTTATCTCTAGAAGTGAAAATGTCAGACCTCTCTTGTGATATGCATATTTATTTATTTGTATTTATTTTTGTGTATCTCTTTCCTAAATTGCATTGCATTAATTTGTTGGATTCAGCTATAAGGATCATAGTTGGCATATACTCAGCCCATCCTTTACCAAGGGCTACAATGTCTTGGATGCAGTGAGTCACTCCAGCAAATCAGAACAAAACAGAAAGATTTAAATAATTTGTTCCCACAGCAGGATCTGGCAAGGAAATGTAGAACACACAAGAGCTGTGCACTGGCAGCCTGTCCCCAAACATTGGCCTGCCAATAGCTGTGTAACGACATCTCTCAAGACTAAGTGGACAGACCCTCCTCTGCTTTCTATGTGCATCCTCCCCACGGAGTCCAGCTCGGTCCACAGTGTGGAAGCCAATGCGATTACTTACTCTTTTCAAAGGGAAAAGTTTAGAAACACAAATAATGGGTGACACAACAATTACAATTACAAATATTACACAGTCACTGATGGGGCCTTTTAATGAAAACTATCCTTACATCTTTTTTATATCACCGATCAGGTCAATCTGTTTTGTCTATTCGTATGCAATTTCAGCTAAAACATTGAAATAAAAACACATTCGGACAATATTACAGACAAATGAATACAGTAATACAGTTGGTAGGCATGAGATATGAGCATGTGTGACTTATGAGCGGTATTTGAATTGAAAAACTAGTTAAAGGAAGTGCTAATAACTGTGTCATAATTGAGTCTTCTCCAGTTATTTGTTAGTATGATAGTATGGCTTTATATGATAGTATGGCTTTATATGTGGTGTGCTCTCTGCATTATATGTGAGTGTTGTCTAGGGTTAGTGGGTTAGTGTGTATCTGTCTCATGTGTTTGTACATTTATTTTTTTTAAACACCACAACAAGACAATTCACCCACATTGTCTAGAATGAGTGGTGTGTTTGCATGGTTGGTGGTGGTCGGAGGGGCTGATGGCACATACTGGTTGCCTCGCTTCTGTCAGTGTGCCCCAGGGCAGCTTTGGCTACAGAAATAGTTTATCACCACCGTGTATGGCGTGAAAGAATAATGACATGTGAAGTGTCTTTGAGTGTCCTAAAAAACACAATATAAAACCTTTTTTTTTATTATTATAAAATACAATCAATGCAATATTTAAATCTTGTGTGACAATTATCATAACTACATTTATTATATTGATTGAGTTATGTGAATTATAACAGTACTTTTATCTTGCAATTTTATATGTATAAGATTATGAATTATTATAATAGTATATTCATTGTACTTGTAAATTTTCATGTTATGCATGCTTTTTTTGATTTTTATAACTTGTTTGTATCAAGAGCCAAAGCAATTTCCTAGTTTTTGACTCACCATGGCAATACAAAAAAAATCTGATTCTGATCATGACGATGCACCACAACAATTATTGCCAACACTTTTCTAATTATTATTCATTTTTGTTCCATTCCTAGTGGTTGATAATTATGCTGTCTGTTTAAAATAATGTAATATCTGTAGAATAGACCTCTTCAAAGTGAGCATGTGTCTTGTTCCTTGACCCGTGAACTGGACATTGTATGTGTCTTACAGAGCAACATATCCCAGTAAGGACCACCACAGCCTCCTTCTCAGTAATTACACGGGTCTTCTGCGAGATACAATATGTCACCTGGCGCAGTGCTACGAATAAAATCGATGTGTGAAGATGAGGCTTGTGTGGCAGCTGCTCTCCTCTATAAAAAGACACCAACCTTTTTCAAAGTAACTCAGACGAACAAGTGCATTTTGTGGTTGGCTATATGAAATAATGACAATAATCAACCGTGTGATCATTGTACCAATCAGGATGTAGCCACCCGGATCAAGAAATAGTCTCTTCTCTTTTGACATTTTACATAAGATGATTGTAGGTGACACTCTGAAAATTAGAATTTCGTTCATAAGTGGATTTTTGTAATTCCACCAATACAAATTAATCAGTCTCATTACATGCAAAGAGACTTATGCCAAGCTATATGGCCATTTGTTCATAACTTCCAATTCTCTGAAATGTTTACTTGGAATGTTCACAAGCTCTGAGCCAATTATCAACATTTTGATAAATACAGACTTGCTACATCCCACTTTGAGTAATTAGTTTCCCATTGTAAGTTATTTTATAGAAAAATAGCTAGCTTTTCGAGTTTCACCTGTATTTAGTTATACCTTGTGTGCTGATTTAGATTTTTGACCACTTTTGGCCTAGTCTATCTAGTTGTAGTCAAAAGGTTTAAAAATGTTGACATTTCTTTTGTATTTCAGGACTATAATTGTGGGTTAAGTAATTGACTCGTTTTAATGACATACCTACAATGGGCTAAATCAAAGAATTGGTGTTTTTGAATATGTTACCCTCTCATGCAGTAGAAAAACAAACACATTGCAAACTTGTGACAAAACTAAACAATGCGACTGAGACCGAGGATTGTTTGTGGGAGGATTTGTCTTCACCGCAGCCCAGTCTTGCATATATAAAGCTTATTAGTGTTTGACACGGCCGCACTACAGTGGACTTTATACCTCAAGACATTACAACTAAAATATAAATGTGCTCTGAAAGTTGAAAATCACTACAAAGGCACACTACAAAAATGAACAACAATTCTTTGTCGCTGTGATTACAACCGATGTTGTAAATCTGTTTTTCTTATAACATTAATTATATTTGATGCATGTTGTTTGATTATTTATGATTTGAATGTGTTGTCTATCTCTGGGTATTAATTGTCATATGCAAATATACGTTGCTCGCCTACACAGTTCTATTTTTGTTTTATCTGCTTTTCAGATGGATTTGGATACATTTTCTTTCTAAAATACAAACTCAACTGAATGTGTGCTTGGTTGTGGCGACTGAAGAATTTGTTACCAGAAGTTATATATTCCATTTCATGCAACAAACAGTATACTGAGCAAAATTGTACCTACATCTTTTTATTATTATTATTATGAGGGAGCTGAGCATATTCCTCTTGTGACAACCTAACTGCCCTTCTGCTCTGTCAACCTCCAACATTATCCCCAACCCAAATCAATGGCTTTTCCCCAAAATTTGCCGTCTATGCTTTGGTTGTTTGTCACCCTGTTAAACCTGTCATGTTGTGTGTCTGCTTTATGTTGAATTAAAAAAGCCGCTCTCTATGAACTTGACCTACAAGCAGCAGGTTTTACATGGGTTAGGGTTTTTTTTAGGTTCTGTGTATTATGCTGATTGTGATTTACTGTATAATTAATACTCTTTGGTGCACTCCCTACATGTGTGCCTCAGTCTATGGTCTCTCTCCCCACATAACTTGACTAGAAGTTATGGGAGGGGATTGGACAGAGCTGGTCAGAGTATATTGAAAAAGATTCCACATGTAACATTGTCCCCCCCTTAAACTGTATGTGTGTGTAATGTATGTATTTTCTCTCTGCTGTTCGCAATAACTGCCATAAAGTAGAGCCGATGCTATATAAACTGCATGTCTCATTCTTTATTTAAAGCTGCACTAACTGACGGATTTTGAAGCCGCGGACTCGCTGGCCTCGCTCTTTCTGCTCCCCTCCCCGCACCCACGAAGCTATCGCCCCCCACACACACCCACAGTGTTGAGACGGAGCTAGCCTCTCCCAATATGGATAATACATGGACATGGATTTGCACGTGGATGGCGTGACCATAGAACGATAGAACCGGGAAGCGCGGAGGAACGAGACTTTCTTTTGGATGGCTGTTTCGCTGTGTAAGCAGTACCCGGTGACGAAGACAAGAAAGTTTCAGGTTAGCTCCGCCGCTTGTTGTGCTAACTCAGCTGTCTATGCTAACGGACCTGGAGATTTCTCACAAAAGTGGGGGCTAGTGGTGATTGGTCACAATCTGAGACCCGAAACACATTCTCTTCCTTGTTTCATCAAAACTCAATCGAAAATATAATGTCAGGCCAGCACAAATCTGCGCTACTTTTTCTTCAAAAGGACGTATATCCCAATGCACTACATGGACATGGATAGCATTTTCGTAATTAATACGAAAATAAAGTCAGCTAGTGCAGCTTTAATCAAAATTTCCCCACAGTGGGACAAATAAAGGCCCATATTTATTCATTCATTCTTTGTTGTTGTAATGTCTGATTTTTCTAGTTTAATCCTTCTCAAATAGAGGTTAAACAGAAATGTAAATAGAAATGCAAAATTATGAGCAAAAAAAACAGATAAGGGAGTTGAGCGAGTGTATCTGACCTTGAAGAGACGCAGGATGTTGGCCACCATGATTGAGACGGAGCTGGCAGACGCGCCTATCACCCCCACCACTCTCTCCGGCTTGGTGATGATTGGCGGTCCGCCGCTGAGACACTTGACATCTGTGGAGTCTTTCTCAATCAGTGCTTGGACAAACGTCAGCGACTGCTCCAGCGCATGGGTGTCCCTCGAGCACGTGTCCAGAATGCGGGCCCCCAAAGTGATATTCGGAAGCAGCTCGTTGTCGTTATTGATACGATCCAACGCAAACAGCATGGCCTCTAACCTGTGGATACCCTTCTCCTTCTTGAGCTCTCCGCAAGCTTTCCCATCATTCCCTCTGGCATGTGCTGGAAAGAGCCCGCCAAGAGATATATCCCCATCTATACGAATTGAGTTAAGATGAGTGTGACCTGGCATTTTTGGTTTGGCTCCAAAAATAAATGAAAAACAACAAGCCAGTAGTAAGACCTTAAAGTAGGCATTTCTGTGTCCGTGGTTGGTCAAAGCTCGCTCAAAGCCCGCTCGCAAAGTCATACTGAGAAGCTAAACGGGCATCTAAAGCAAGCCAGAGTTCTTTGAAAATCGAACTACACACAGAGACTCACGCATACAAATGTCCTGAAGGGTGGCCTAGCTGTTTTTTCGTCTCAGAAGTCTCCTCTCATGCTCTCTCGCTTTGACACAAACTCGGTAATACTAATTATGCAGTCTGGCTCCTATGCTTGATCTACCGCCTTTCTTCTTCCGTCTTTGTGTTTCGCTCTGGTTGCGCACCTAGGAGCTGTGGCTACATGCGCTAACTAAATAGAACAGGGAATCCACAGAGAACCTTTTTCAAATGGCATTGGCAGGAACAAAGCACTGGAGTAGGCCTCTATTCTCTGCGTCTTCAAAATCACACTTGGTGCTTCTTGGTCCTTCAAGATACGTTAGGGTCCCCAGCTGACGCCTGCAAACAGAAAAAAAATACATATTAGACGAGTTACTTTGACAAGCGGATAAGAGAAAATATAGGTTTAAATTGGAAATAGCTATGAATGTGTTATGTCTATAGCAGAGTCTTTTTCCCTGTATAAATGCATCTCCCATCAGGCCACTTTTGTGTCAGCTGTTCCCTCCGGTTATGTAAAACACGCTCTGTTCATTATTCCCATTGTTTTCATTTTTCCCTGTGGTTAGCCCCTGACAGGTCTAGTCGCAGTGCTGGATCAGAAATGCACGGTAAAGCAGATTTTAAATGACATCTCAACATTATATTGGTCTGTCGTCTTTAAATGAAAAAGGGACAGGAACAGAGATAATCCTTTTTCAATTGAATTTATTTTGAAATAGCCAACAGCATCATCGTTGTCTCGGCAAAAATTGTCATTTTGCCAGCAACAGATTAGAGAATGAAACAATTAGAACACTGATAATGCAATAATAAGGAACTCAATGGAGCCATACCGGAATGGCCGATGTCTATAAATCATAAATGTCCATAAATGTGTGGAAAAGAAAAGCTTTTTCAGATTTTAAGTTTGTGTCCATATTTTTTTAACATTGTGTGGGGTCAGAGAGTATTTGGGCCTGTGTCTTGTCTGAATGAGTGCTATGTTTTGTGTTGTATGAGCTTTGTCCAACCTCTTTTAAAACTGTGTATTATGGATACTTGTTACTGTAAGTATCCAAAAATACAATGATGTTTTTTCTTATTTTTTTGGTGGTTTGGTTCTACCAGTATTTCACACAGAATTGGGCTCCAGAGTGTGAGCATTTTGGGGCGTACGTGTCTGCGCTTCACAGTTTTTGCTCCTCCGTGTGTTTGTGCTTCGTTCTCCTGTGTTCTTCTGTCACACTTTACATTGATAGACATGGTGGTGAAAGTATCAGTCTTTAGAAATGTGTTCAGTGCCACAGGGAAGGATGATGCTTTGTCTACATAGAAGCATCATCAGCCTGATTTCACTCTGGTCACTGCTCTCCGTGGCTCCTTAGTAATCTTAGAAATCTCTATTTTAAAAAAAAGTTTTAAAATAGACACAAAGCACTTTACAATTTTGGTGTGCTGGCAAAACCCATTCATTCCACACACTGGCGCTTCAAAGCCTCCGACCATTACATTGTCATTACATTAATTCTTATTGTACATGTTTTAAGAGGTAGGGGAAACTGGAGAACCTGGAGGAAACCTACACAGACACACAGAGAGGCCTTGCCATACTGGAGATGGAATCGAACCTAGCACCTTGCTGTGAAGCACAACCACTAACTACTGCGCCACGGTGTCACCCTTAGGCCTGGGCTCCACCGGGCGCGTTTTCGTTGGCGCGCGTTGGCTGCTGCCCGTCAGACGTCCGTAAAACGGAATAGTGGCCAAACCGGCGTTTAACAGCACCCCGTGAGGAATTGTTTTAAATAGAAGAAGTGGTGTGTGATGTGCATGAGCTGTAGCTATGATCAGTGCAAAGCACGACGCTATTGAAGCATCGAGGACGTCGCGATGGATGAGGCAAAACTTATTGAAAGCATTTGGAAAAAGGGGAGAGAGAAAAGAGAAAAGAACTCTAACATATCCAGTGTTGTTGTGAGATCTGTCTCTCATGAGTGCAGCTCTGTGTGTGTGTGTGTGTGTGTGTGTGTGTGTGTGTGTGTGTGTGTGTGTGTGTGTGTGTGTGTGTGTGTGTGTGTGTGTGTGTGTGTGTGTGTGTGTGTGTGTGTGTGTGTGTGTGTGTGTGTGTGTGTGTGTGTGTGTGTGTGTGGATGGGAGCGCGCGGCGGTGAGGAGAGAGGGCCTCGGAGGTAGAGGGGACAGAGCGAGAGGAAAAAGAGCGAGGTGTATGTAAAGTTTAGTGTATTAACATTATACAAAAAATAAATGGTAGATGTACGATGTACAATTTAATACATGAAAAATATTACACACATTTGTTAATAATCATTGTCATTAACAAATACTTATAACCAAGGACTACAGCATATATCAATATATGTTTAATAATGTGGTAAATATATTATCCCATTGCATTTTCAATGGAAAACGGACGGAACAAATAGGATTGTTTCTATTTCGTCTGTCCGCGTCCGTTGCACCCTCGGTTGACGGAATGCGTCCGACGTGCGTCGGACAGACGCATGTTGGAGGCAGTGGAGCCACTTCCATTCAACCTCAATGGAGATAACGGAGACGGAGATGAAACGGACACGAATGGACGGATCCGTCATCCGTTTGAGTGTTTTTTATGTCTTTATTTTAGTAAAAATTAATAAATGAATAGGAAAAACATTTGTGACCTTTGCATGATGTGGGCAAGGTTAGAAACATTCCTTCACATTTACTTTAAAGAACACATGGAAGCGAACAACACAATCACCCGGCACAACAAAACAATCATCTCCTTCTTCGGTGGAACTGAGGAAGTGATGAATGCAGACAGCGACGCCCCCCTCCCTTCTGTCACACGTATTGGAAAAAAAAGCTAAAAGTGCACCTTGGATCCAAACAGTGAAATAAGACTGAACAACTAACTCCGAAGCGTCCAAAAATAATCTCTGCATACTGAGAATAGAGGAACCAGTAAAGGGTTAAACCTATGTTGCACCAATGATATGTTATCACTTGTTTTGGCACTTTTACCTTTAAACTGCATATCATTTGGTAAAAAAACTAGAAAACTAGGGGTTCAAAAAATGACATCTTACATTGTGCACCCACATCTTAGAAAGTCTAAAAAAGATCAACTTACATTTGTTTCTTCAAGGAGTGAACATTAAAGGGTTAACAAGCATTTAGTGAAATGGCAGCTATAAAATACATATTTTGTGTGTACATTTAGGTACACAAATACATGTGTGTATCTAAATGCTGAATGATGATGAAAAGGGTATAGGTACATCAGGACAGAAACATTGGTTTGAGACTCTGTAATGCAATCTGAAATTCTGAAATGCCACTTGCTTAAAAAGTCATGCCCATCACATTTAAGATTCCAACTCAACCTATACCTTTATGGCTATGGAACTCTGCCGTGTTGCACCCGTACTTTTGCTGCTTTCACCAATGAATTATTTGTAGGTGCCGTGAGCATTACTGATAAACTGCTGCTTGGCTCCACTCCATATCATTTATAAGCGCCATTGCGTTCGTGTAGATCCTCTGTGGAGTGTGGCAGCAACGGATTACGCCACATAACGCAAAATTATGAGTTCAGGAATCCTACAGACGCAGTTCTCTTGAGTTATGGACAACTTCGCATTATCATGTTTAAGACCACAACAAAGTAACAGACTACTGCGGAGGGAAATATGTATTTTATTTTTTGTGTGTGTGTGGTTATAAACATGGCAAAATGTACAAAACAAGTACATATATTGCATTAAACAAGAATATCACAAAGTAACTTTAAACATTGATTTAATCAGACATTTTATATGTTATGAACTATTATCACAGTATTATCATAATTATGCACCACACATATTATTACCGACCCTTTTTATTAATATAAATTATTGTCCCCTTCACTAGTGGTTGATAAGGCCCAATTATATTAGTATTTTGAGTTTAAATTCAAAATAATATGACAAAAAAGTGAAAAGAAAAAGAGAATAAAGTCATAATGTAATTAGAAAAAAGTCGAAACATACTGACATTAAAGTCAAAGTCAGAAAACATCTGGAAGTTTTATTTTGTCGTAAAACAACTTTATTCTCTTAATTTTTATGACTTTTTCTTGTAGTACAAGAATACAGTTGGGATCTTTCAACCTCAATGTCATAGTCCAAAGCACGTGTCTTGTCCCTTGACCCGTGAACTGGACATGTATTTGCCTCAAAGAGCAACATTTCCCAGTAACGTCTTCATCTTGCCGTCTTTTATCCCCGTTGATTTCCTTGTTTGTGTGTTGTATTGACTATAGTGGGCAGGTGTCTTCCACTGTGTGGAGCTAATAGAGCGGTGCATCAGAGCGCAGTGGGAGATGGCTGTGGCGTCATTCCAACTCGATTGTCCACCATTCACACATGTCAGACTCGGGCTCATGCTGCTTTTGTATGCTAACCCTGCTGCCCCTGCTGAGACGAGGCCCGCGCAGAGGACACAGAGGGCAAAAGCACTTTCACATCAAAAAAGTTATATAACCAGCTGCAGCTGTCAATAAAGTATTTACGATCACCTATGTCAGCAAAGATAGCTTGTCTAGTATACAAAGTGTAAATTCCTGCCAAACTGTATTTCCTTGTTGTGATAGCCACTTCTGATATCACCCCTCTTACACAATCTTATCTTAAATCATT